ACAATAATAAAAAATGTAACTGCAAACTAACTGAAACAATAGCATGTAAATATGTAAGCACACAGTACCGTTACTCTCACATTTCTGTAGTAATGGAAAAACTGCCAAACATTACACAGACCATAATGTAATATATATTATGAATATACTAATAATCATAATGTGAATAAATGAATAATATAACTTTTATCAATCTTTTTTTTTTTAGTTGTTTGTTGTATCAGGCCTATCAATCAATGCCACCATTTGGTCCCAATTCATTGATCCTAAAGAATAACACCCAACGAAAGTATTCACATGTAAAGTAACTTATGTAATGTACTTGGCAGCACTTTACAAAAAGGTCTCATTAGTTAATGCATTCACTAACAATAAGCAATAAATGCTACAATATTTATCAATCTTTCTTAACAGTTAATACAAATGTACCTATTGATTGTTAGTTCTTTTTAGCTCACACCCATTAAAAAAATGAACAGATGCAACTTTTGATTTTAATAATGTATAAGAAATTATTTTGAAATTAACTAAGATTAATAAATGCTTTAGAAGTATTGTTAACAAACTGAACCTTATGTAAACCCAGGTGAAAAAAAGTGCTCTTCCATAATGTACTTTATTTAATTTTGCACTTAATATACTAAAAATTATTCTTTAGTACTTAATCTTAAGAACATCTAAGTGTACTCAACTGTGCTATTTTGAGACACCATGAATATGAATTCAAATGTGCTTTTAACATATTATCTCTGTATTTAAAAAAAAATTCATTTAGTTACCATGTGTTGTACGTTTTCATCCACTAGTGTATGTAAGATGCGTTCAAGTGTACTACAAGTGGTAACTAAATACATAAAGTACTAAAGAATCATTTTTAGTATATTAAGTACAAAATTAGTGCGTGAAAATAGAGCACTTTAAGTACATTAAGGAAGTGTACTTTTATCACCTGGGAAGTATTACAATATAAGATTTATGCAATCTTTCATATAAAAAGATTCTGTGTAGCCTAACAATTTCACAATCCAACACAAAGATGAAAATAACGTGACGTTTAGATCGAAAACCTACTTTGCATCAATAACAACAAAAGAAATACTGGTAACCATAATAATAATAATAATAATATATTCTTAACGATGTTGTGCAGTGATCGTTTAGTTTTTGTCAAAAGTTTAAAAAAAAAAGTATATTAAAAAAAAATTATAATAAAAAATTTATGTCATAAACAAGAGAAAACTGCAGTCACCGCTGGATGTAATAACACACAATGACCGCTGAGGCTGATGCTGTAGATGTCATTATAACGTCTCTAAAACGCAAAAAAATCCCGTTTCCTCATAAACATGGGGTTTTTGTTCAACTTGAGAGGAAACGATGCTGAGCCAGTACGGTTAGCTACAGCAGGCTAGCACAACTGGGGCTCCTCACATACTCACTAACCCTCCAAAAGGTGGGGGAATACACTTCTACAAAGGTCAACTGAGGAAAAAAGACCTTGAAATGAGACTTTAGAACTTACCTGATGAAACTCGGAGAGTTTGGTGGACTATTCACTCAGATATTCCGTTACTCCTGTCTATTTATATGAGTTCGTCGACTCCGACGGCTGTTCTGTCGGAGTTGAAAGCGCCCAGCATGCACAGGAAGTGATGCGTGCTCACGCTGCTGTGCTGTGCTGTACTTCTCTTTTTTTTGTCGTAGAGGGTACTTGGGGGTGCTGTAACACGTTTCATTTCACCATCTGTAACTCTGTTTCTATGTGTTAAGTGTCATAAACGTTGATATAGCTAACCATCTTCACCAGATTCGCCTGTCTCAGATGAAATGAGTAAACATTACAAATGAAAGCAATAAAGAGCAACTACTTCAACCGAGTTCACTCGATTTGGCCAAACTAATTGAGAACATTTATATTTTAAAATTGGACGCATGAATATATTGTAAGAATTACTTGTTTGAAATGATTAATTTGACATTCCTCCTCGTGACTCCACCCAAACCAAACTTAAAAATAGAAACTGGTCATATAACACCCATTAACAGGACCACACATCAAATTACAAGCCAGGCACGATTCTTTATTACCTCAAAATTGAGTTTGTCCTGTAAATCCTTTATGTTTTTTTTTTTTTTAACTTCTGTTGTCACCTCAGGATGATTGGTAGACACATTTTTACGTACTTGTAAACATATTAGTCTGTGACAAAAGGACATCAGCAAATTAAAATAGTGGATTTAAGAACATCATCTGAATTAGGTAATCCTTTATCTATAATCATTTCAACACCATTCCAAAATGAAGTGCAAACAAAATCACTGTCACAGTCAAAGTCCAAACACACATATTAGTTGGACATAAAGTGCAGGTAAGATCATAATCCAACCAAGTCTATAGCTGATAAACTGATGAAAACAGCAGCATACTAATAAATAAAGTTGTGCAACAGGACTGAGCATATAAAGGACAAAATAAGTCCAAATAACTGGGTGATAATTATTTTTAAAATTGCATTAACTAAAATACACCTATCTAAGCTATTTTATAATTGACAATAAAGAGCAGATTTGTAGTTAAAGGCAAAGGCGACGCCACAATAAATACAATGCAATCTTTCGCAGATCTGTCCTAAAGACCTGTTGAACCTGTTGTCGGTCAGACAAACCTGAATGTACGAGAGAATGGGGGCTTGATTAGCCTACATTTGGCAATCATAAGATAAATGACTGTGGGCACTGATAAGTGTTACTGCACAAAAGTGTACGAAAGTCCTAAGAGGATGGCCATGGATTATTAATATTTTTCTTTCTTGTTTTCTCGTGATCTCGACATATCAAAAGTTGTTCTCTAAGTTACACAACTGCTCCAACAGGTGGCAGTACAGAACTGAATATAACAGATGGGGTGTTTCTGTATATACACTTTACTGTCCGCGTTTGGGACAGAATTAGGACCTTCTTCGTGATCGCTATAATTTGTGCAGTATTGTTCATTACTGACATTTAACTAACTCATGCATGTAATGATTATTTGTCTGTTTGTGCTATAGATGCATGACTCATCACAGTTATCACACCAAGTTCCGTGTGATAAACTAACTGCTTATTAAAACCAAGGTTGACCTCACTGTATTTTGTGTTTGCACCTATATCTTTATTTGTGCATCTTTGAAGTACATGGTTGTTAGTTAATAAGCGGGGATGTTGTGTTTATCTAGGACGCGCTTCAACGGCTTATTTAATGTGCATCTTGTCCTTATTTTTCATCTTTATTGTTAACCATTAAGACCTGGTTTCACAGACAGGGCTTATAGACTAAGCCAGGATTAGGCCATAAATGTGTCTTAGAAAAAGCATTACTGGTGTGCATCTTGAGACAAAACAAGGGCAATGACATATTTTATGATCACTCGGTGCAAGTTTCTTTCAGTTGAAACCGCACAGACTTACATTTTAGCCTTAAGCCTTGTCTGTGAAACCGGGGTATATGTATTACGATTTTAATTTGTCCTTTCTCTTTGGAGTGTTACAAGCTCTTGGTGCATAAAGAAGATCTGTAAAATTGCAAAGACTAAAGTCTCAAATCCAAAGAGATATTCTTTATAAAAGTTAAGAGTCAACCACGCCTACCTACATTTTATGGAGGACTGTTTCCTGATCCTGGTAGAGTAGACTACAATGCCGGCTGTTCTGACACACAGACTGTAAGTACGTTTTTTTATATTTAAAATTTGAATTTGCCACTGATGATTCAAACGTGAGTTTTGAGCAGTGTAGAGTAGCACTTGTTTTTTGTCATTTCTCCTATCACAAATGCAGACATGGTTTTATGTTTACGCGGCGCGATGCAACGCGTAAAAAGACAGTATAAGATTTGTAAAAATCGACGTGTTTCAGAAAGGCGGCGCATAGAGGAGAAACAATAATGTACAGTATGTGGAAAATAATGTTTTTTGAACCTTAAACCGCATAAACACATTTCATTACACCAAATACACAAAATAATGTTCTTTTTAGCAACATCATATGACCCCTTTAAGACTACTGAGAGCATCTATGCACATTTGATTTATTACCAGACTCCATCTTGTGGTGAAAGTCAGTAATACAAATGGAGACTGAAAAGCTTGTGAAAGTGAAAGTCACCATTAAAGAGGTTTGGTTTGAAAAAAAGTTTAATTGCATTCTCAGAACAAGGTTTCTCACAAACATCATGTGTTTTATAATTAAACGCAGTGCTGGGTAGTAGCTAATTATATGAAATCCATTTTTTTATTGTATTTAATCCGGTTTTAAATACTATTGTAATCATTTTTAGTTTTGATTTTATTTTTAAATTTAACATTTAATAATTAGCTTTTCATCAATTTACAAACTCAGAAATTTTTATATGGAATTTGGTATATTATAGTTTCTACAATGGTTTGATATTTTTGCATATTACCTTCAGATTTTTTTTCATGATTGTTTTGGCATTTATATTATTGCTGAAAAGTTATGATTTTCACTTCAGACATTATTTTGTATTCCAAACAATTATGTATATATTTATGATTTAATCCTACTATTTTGTTTTGCTTCTAGGTCGAGGTCATTAAAGGTCAAAAAGCCTCAACAGATGTACGCATTTTGCATCCATCTTGACAGACATGAATTAACATTAATGTGTCCTGTATCAACAATTACCTTTTGAAAATAAATACCAGTACCTGCAGGGTGAAATCTCCCTTTAATTTCTGTGAAGAAACACACAGAAAGCACTATCTGCCAGCATACATCAGGGTTGTTATCAAAAACATCTTTATTTAGTCATTATGGAAAACATTTTAGTGGTTGTCTTTGAGGAGACATTGAACAGAATACATAAAATGCTCACCAGATGTGCATGTTTGATTATCCATTAATACTTTATATAATGTGAATCTGAGAGTCCTAGTACAAGCAGTGTAAACCCTGAAGATTTAAATCAAGGTTCAAGTGATATGTCCTCAATATTACACTGTACGTACAAATAAAGGCCGAAATAAACTGGGTAAATGCTAATGCCGATATCTAGTCTATGTATATTCTACTTGTAGAACTCGTGTTCCTGCTCATCTTTCTTGATAACAGTCTTGTAAGCCTTCTCAAAGTCCTTAGCCAGCACAATGTAACGGTTTTCACGCACAGCCAGCATACCAGCCTGCAGACACAAAAAAAAAAAACAAGAGTTCATCTTTACAGAAAACATGCTTGAAGAAATTCAGATCACAAATAAAAACAAACACACAGATAAGGCTATTTATGTTAAAGGGGTCATATGATGCTGCTAAAAAGAACATTATTTTGTGTATTTGCTCTAATAAAATGTGTTTATGCGGTTTAAGGTTCAAAAAACAGAAAGGAAAAATTGAAATCGCATCATATGACCCCTTTAACATCTTGCCTCTTCTAACTCACCTCCTGGCAAATGGAGTTGATATCTGCACCAGAGATCTTGTCAGGCCTGGCAACATCTGTATTTTGGTTAAGGACAACTGTAAAATGTTTATTTGGTCATGACAGTCATGTATAACAGTCTCCTAAATCAAGAGATACACTAGCATTCAAGTTCAGAGTCTGTAAAGTTTTTAAATGTTTTTGAAAGTCTCTTATGCTCACATCAAGGCTGCATTTATTTAATTGAAAATACAGTAAAAACTACTATTTAAAATAACTTGATCTATTTTTTTTAAATGTCATTTATTCTTATAACGGCAATGCTGAATCATTCTAACATGCTGATTTGTGCTCAAGAAACGTTTCTTAAATGTCATCAAAACGTTTTTTTTGTGGAAATTGTGATACCTTTTCAGCATGTATTTAAAATAGAAATTCACAGTTATTTTTGATCAATTTAATGCATCACTGCTGAACAAAAACACTAATTTCTTTAAAAAAATAATAATAATTTACTGGCCCCAAACATTTGAATGAGAATGTATTTTTTTAAATATTTTTTTATATATATATATATTTTTTTTGGTGGCAGTGTTTGTTTATGATTAATGCCTTGTATTTTCTTAATTTGTAAGTTACTTTAAATATATTAAATATTCTAAATGATTAAATGTAATCATAATGAGAAAATCTTCATGTAGGATCAGGATACAGTCCTCCAGGTCGACCTCCTCGGAGAGGTTCATCTTGCTGGTGATGGTGGTGAACACCAGGCGTTTCTGTCGCCGGTCAGGAAGAGGAAACTCAATCTTACGGTCCAGTCTACCCGGGCGCAGCAGAGCTGGATCCAGTGTGTCAGCCCTGTTGGTGGCCATGATAACCTGTCATTGAAAAAAAAAGACACACAACATCAACAATGGCTGAATTATATGGCCGTATTAAAGCAGGACAGAAGGAGAAGTGCAACATAATACCACACAGTCATAGAAAAAATAAAAATTAAATAAATAATGACTAAAAAATTTTTTCTGACCTTCACGTTCACATTCTGGTCAAACCCATCCATCTGATTGAGGAGCTCAAGCAAGATTCTCTGCACTTCTCTATCAGCTACAAACATATAAAACAGAAAAAATAATGAGCAAACAAAACCAAGGAAAGATTTTTAACAAACAATGGGATTAGTAGACTTGGAATATAGTGCACAAGTTGTAAAGACAACAGTTTAGTTTTTCCTAAATGTCTCCTTCAGGACGTTGTGAAATGAGGCATGATGACAACAATGTAATTTTTTGTTTGTGCGAAATGTAGTCTACCTTTCAAAAGTTTGGGGTCAGTAAGATTTAATGTTTTTGTAAGAAGTCTAATACGCTCACCTTGCAAGGCTGCATTTATTTGATAAAAATACAGCGAAAACAGTAATACTGTGAGTGTGAAATATTATTGTAGTTTAAAATGACTTTTTTTTTTTACCCAATTTTACAATTTACTTCTGTGATGGCAAAGACGATTTTTCAGCATCATTCAGTGTCACAAGCCCCCTCAGAAATCATTCTAATATGCTGATTTGTTGTTTATGAAATATTTCGTATTATTATCAATGTTGAAAACAGTTGTGCTGCTTAATATTTTTGTGAAACCCATTATACTTTTAGCATTCTTTGATGAATGGAAAGTTTAACAGAACAGATTTAAAAAATTTTTTTTTTTTTTTCAACATTACAAATGTCACTTTTGATCAATTTAATGTGTTGCTTTAATGTGTTGCTGAATGTGTTGTTCATTTATTTAAAAATATCTTACTGACCCAATACATACATATAAGTATTCGGGGTGAAAGTAATTAGTTTTTTAATATGTCATAAATTGATTTTTTTGTAGTAAATATGGCTGATTTTACAACAAGATTGTTACACTGAATTACATTTTAGTGGGTGTCTTCTGTAAATCAGGGGAAAATGTATGCTATTTATTTTTTGCTCAGAAAAACAAAAACAAAAATACAATTACAGAAAACTTCAAATGTTTAATTTTTTTTGGAAAAACAACAATTTAAAGCAGTATTGTTTTTATGTTTAAACCCTTTTTCGTCTTTGACCCACAAACATACACACAAACATATATGTAGTTATAAAACCTGAAAGGGATGCATACCTCCAGTCTGTGCATCAAAGCGCTTGGTAGCAATTGCATCAATCTCATCGATAAAGATAATGGCTGGGGCATTCTCTTTGGCCAGTCGAAAAACATCTCGCACCATGCGTGGACCCTCTCCGAGATACTTCTGCACAAACTCAGATCCCACCACACGAATAAAGGCCGCTGCAGAACATTAAAACACAACTATAAAAGTTGTAATATAATCATGTGCTTCTGATCTAGTTATTTATTTCCATCTGTGCTCAGGAATGAACTTCAAAGTTCAATAATAAAGCAAATTTGGGTATAATGGCTGAAAGACCTCTAACCACACTTTAGCCTACCTGTGGTATGGTGAGCCACAGCTTTTGCCAACATAGTCTTTCCACAGCCAGGTGGGCCATACATGAGCACTCCTCTGGGTGGGTCAATACCAATCTGAGAACAGAAGTAGAATGTGAGTGGACAACTAAGACCGCTACACACCACAGGTACTTGCATGCACATACTCACCTGTTTATAGAGCTCAAAATGTGTGAGGGGGAGCTCCACAGCCTCCCTCACTTCCTGTTTCTGGATGTCCATTCCTCCGATGTCTGCATACATCACATCTGGCTTCTGATCTAGTGTCATATAGAGGAGAAATGCATTAAATAGGGACCACAACAAAGTCGCTGCAAGAGTTTTTCAGAAATAAGGTGCAATCTAGATCCCAAATAAAGGCAAACAAGGAACTGATTGAGAATACCTGAAGTAAGCATCATGATGCTGCTGTCAGCCTCTGGAGGCAGAACGTCCACCAGAGCATTGCTGTGCTTGTGCAGAGCAACAGAGGCATTGGGCTTCAGCAGCTCTCTGTCGATTGTGCTCAGAATCCGAACATAGTAATTTGAGCCTGAAGGAATCAAAAATATAAAAAATGTTAAATTGCACAGCATTACTGACAAAGCTAAATCATGTAGCTTTAACTAACAAACATTTACAAATATCAGGACATTTCAAAGGCACATTTAAGCATTTGCCATGATTTATTTTATCCAAAACAACTTAAAGTGCAAGGCATACATTTTAAATTGTTGAAGTTAACCGTTTTGAAAATCCAGAAATTAGAACAGATTGGTAATCCTGTAACTGATACTACCCAGGGTTTCTGCAGGTTTTATCAAAGTAAATCGAAGACTTTTTAAGACCAAGTAAAGAAAATAAGGAATTAAGTGATTGGTAAACAACGTGTCAAAATGGTCTCTAAATGTAAATGTCTTGTATAATGCTTCAAAGTAAAAAAACAAAAAAAACAATTCCAAAACATTTCAATTACTTTTCTCGCGGGTTTCACAATAATGGACATGGAAAGTCGACGTATACGTAAAGCGATTGAAAGAAAAAAAACAACTCACAAAAATACAAACCTTATATCTGCTGTAAAGATCCTCCAGATCTTCTGGTTCAGGAGCCAAGAAAGACAAGCCGGTCTGGGGCCTTGAATTCAGCAGCAGGGCCGGCACATCATCCTGTAGAGCAAAAAAATTAAAAAGAAAGAAAGCTCACAAATATGTCAACGCAAAGGCAATATTTCTTGAACACACACAATTAAATAGGCATAACTATAATTATGATTTATTATAAAATATCTGGATTTTAATATCATGTTACAATAAATTATCACAGAATTAGCATAATATAATGCAAAGCACATCATTAAGGCATATTCAAACAGTTTTATGACTGTAAAGAAACTGATATATTATTACAATAACTATAATTATGATTTATTATAAAATATCTGGATTTTAATATCATGTTACAATAAATTAATTATCACAGAATTAGCATAATATAATGCAAAGCACATCATTAAGGCATATTCAAACAGTTTTATGACTGTAAAGAAACTGATATATTATTACATATTCATATTTTAATGTACTTACACCGTTCTGTTAAGCGTCGAAATAATTGTTCTTATAAAGTTTTACTAAATAAATGTACTAAATAGCTGATAAACTGCTATGCTACATGGCTAGGCAATAGCTCAACTGATAAATATTCCGTGTGAACAGCTTTGTTCAAAATATTCATATACAATTCAAATATGACCGAAAGTAAAGTTTTAAACTCTGCCTATTCGTAATGATCACTACTCTTCTGTTCTTTTGAGGAGCACACATGCTAACGCTAGCCGCTGTCAGAGAATGGCATGACTGAGCATTTGCAGCGAGCTGAATGAATCGGCATCTTTTCACTCTTCATTGTAAGCTTTAGACTTGCGTCCTTGCTGTATATATGTTTTGCTTATATAGACTAGAACTTTTTGAAGATAATACTGGCGTGTACGCCACCCCTCTCTTTGTAAAACACTTAAAATCACAACATATATCTCACCTGAGGTTTCTCAACCAGCACTCCGCCGTCCTCCATGTTTGCTTGCAGCAACTGATGTGAAGTTCCCCAAATATTCACCGGGTCCTAAAGGCCACTTTTTTCATCTCCTTTCATTGCAGAGCTCCGTGTATACCAAATACATTGCGCCAACCATTGACACACATACATAAACTGCCGTTTCAACTAGGCTACTGTTTTGTAGCATTAAATTGAACAAAAGTGACAGTAAACATTTTATATTGTTACAAAAGATTCATCACATTCATCAGCTTCCACGTAAAATTTAGTAGCGCAACTGTTTTCATTATTGACAATAATATAAGACATTTAAAATCTTACCAATCCCAAACTTTTGAACTGCACCAAATTAATTATACTTCCAGTGACCGTTTTTGAGATGTACCTCATGAAGACCAACAGTGTGACTATTGGAAATTGGGTACCAAAAAGGTGCACTGTGCCTTTAAATTTGAGTGCCATGAGTAATTTCTCCTGATTGAAAAGCAAAATATATTCAAGGAGCAGTTGTTTTTTATTGTTTTGTTTTTTTTGCATTTATTGATAAATCACCAACCAGACTTCAGATTCCAAAGATGAAGCATTTTCAGCTATTTCAATGGTTTTATTTAAATGTGTATTATATAAAATGGCATATTTTCATGTCACAGTTGTGTGGGAGTTACTTGGGAACACAGACCATTTTTGAAACCAGACATGGCACAACAAAAAGGGACCTTCAACTGCCCACTCAATAAGTTAAATTCCTCACTAATATCATCTTAATAATATCCTTGAAAATAATTCATGTGTCATATTCAATCTACTGCCTTTTGATACAGCAAATTATTTAGATTAGACTGTCCAATGGCAATAAGCAATTTTTGATGCACAAAGGACTGGGGGTTTTTTTATGCACAAAGAATATTTCGATGCATGAATAAGGAACATTTCCTTGATGCACAAATAGATTTTTTTTATTTATTTATTTATTTTTATTACATATATTTTTTTTTCAAAACATCTGACCAAACAGGGGAATCCTTTTGGTGGCTGAGCCCTCTTCCTCTTGACATTCTCATCGTCAAATGTACCCTGAAAAGACGTGAGATTCCTTGCCTCAACAACACTGCATCTTTTCTGTGGGCCAGCAAGTGGCTTCACAGGAACACGGGCTGGGTCCAGAACAGTCATTTTTGTGGACACACCAACAGGGTGTTCAAGCAGATACGCAGACCTACGTTTGTCCACCTTCACTGGGCGACTTGCAAAACTGGGCAGCCGGGGTAAGGAGAGGTGAGCGATAGTTTTCCGATCACACTCATATAAAGGTTCATTGACGTTTCTCTTTGCCATGCCCATTAAATGGTTAGTAGGTCTGGACCCTCGACGCCCCAGAGGTATTCCGTGTGAACAGCTTTGTTCAAAATATTCATATACAATTCAAATATGACCGAAAGTAAAGTTTTAAACTCTGCCTATTCGTAATGATCACTACTCTTCTGTTCTTTTGAGGAGCACACATGCTAACGCTAGCCGCTGTCAGAGAATGGCATGACTGAGCATTTGCAGCGAGCTGAATGAATCGGCATCTTTTCACTCTTCATTGTAAGCTTTAGACTTGCGTCCTTGCTGTATATATGTTTTGCTTATATAGACTAGAACTTTTTGAAGATAATACTGGCGTGTACGCCACCCCTCTCTTTGTAAAACACTTAAAATCACAACATATATCTCACCTGAGGTTTCTCAACCAGCACTCCGCCGTCCTCCATGTTTGCTTGCAGCAACTGATGTGAAGTTCCCCAAATATTCACCGGGTCCTAAAGGCCACTTTTTTCATCTCCTTTCATAGCAGAGCTCCGTGTATACCAAATACATTGCGCCAACCATTGACACACATACATAAACTGCCGTTTCAACTAGGCTACTGTTTTGTAGCATTAAATTGAACAAAAGTGACAGTAAACATTTTATATTGTTACAAAAGATTCATCACATTCATCAGCTTCCACGTAAAATTTAGTAGCGCAACTGTTTTCATTATTGACAATAATATAAGACATTTAAAATCTTACCAATCCCAAACTTTTGAACTGCACCAAATTAATTATACTTCCAGTGACCGTTTTTGAGATGTACCTCATGAAGACCAACAGTGTGACTATTGGAAATTGGGTACCAAAAAGGTGCACTGTGCCTTTAAATTTGAGTGCCATGAGTAATTTCTCCTGATTGAAAAGCAAAATATATTCAAGGAGCGGTTGTTTTTGATTGTTTTTTTTTTTTTGCATTTATTAATAAATCACCAACCAGACTTCAGATTCCTAAGATGAAGCATTTTCAGCTATTTCAATGGTTTTATTTAAATGTGTATTATATAAAATGGCATATTTTCATGTCACAGTTGTGTGGGAGTTACTTGGGAACACAGACCATTTTTGAAACCAGACATGGCACAACAAAAAGGGACCTTCAACTGCCCACTCAATAAGTTAAATTCCTCACTAATATCATCTTAATAATATCCTTGAAAATAATTAATGTGTCATATTCAATCTACTGCCTTTTGATACAGCAAATTATTTAGATTAGACTGTCCAATGGCAATAAGCAATTTTTGATGCACAAAGGACTGGGGGTTTTTTTATGCACAAAGAATATTTCGATGCATGAATAAGGAACATTTCCTTGATGCACAAATAGATTTTTTTTATTTATTTATTTATTTTTATTACATATATTTTTTTTTCAAAACATCTGACCAAACAGGGGAATCCTTTTGGTGGCTGAGCCCTCTTCCTCTTGACATTCTCATCGTCAAATGTACCCTGAAAAGACGTGAGATTCCTTGCCTCAACAACACTGCATCTTTTCTGTGGGCCAGCAAGTGGCTTCACAGGAACACGGGCTGGGTCCAGAACAGTCATTTTTGTGGACACACCAACAGGGTGTTCAAGCAGATACGCAGACCTACGTTTGTCCACCTTCACTGGGCGACTTGCAAAACTGGGCAGCCGGGGTAAGGAGAGGTGAGCGATAGTTTTCCGATCACACTCATATAAAGGTTCATTGACGTTTCTCTTTGCCATGCCCATTAAATGGTTAGTAGGTCTGGACCCTCGACGCCCCAGAGGTCTTTCACCTGAAACTGATGTCTTCTCATCAGCTTCTGGCAAGAAGAAATGTCCAGCTGACTTGTTCTGTCCAACTAGAGGTTTCACAGTAAAATGGGTTGGTTTTAGAACAGGCAAGTTCGTGGACACAGCAACAGGGCATTCATGCAGAGACGTAAGTCTGTCCACCCTCGCTGGTCGACTTGCAAAACTGGTTAGCCGGGGAAAGGAGAGGTGAGCGGTAGTTTTCAGATCAGACTCACATAAAGGGTCATTGACGTTTCTCTTTGCAACGACCTTTAAATGGTTAGTAGGTCTGGACCCTCGACGCCCCAGAGGTCTTTCATCTGAAACTGATGTCTTCTCGTCAGCTTCTGGCAAGATGAAATGTCCAGCTGACTTCTTCTGTCCAACTAGAGGTTTCACAGGAAAATGGGTTGGTTCTAGAACAGGCAAGTTCGTGGACACCGCAACAGGGCATTCATGCAGAGATGTTTGTTTGTCCACCCTTGCTAATTGACTTGCAAGACTAGGCAGTGGGGGTAAGGAAAGCTGAGCATTAGCTTTCAGATCAGACTCACATGAAGATTGTGTGACATTTCTCTCTGCCACATCCATTAAATAAGTAGGAGGTCTTGGCCCGTGACGTCCTGGAGGACTTTCACCTGGCTTCTTTTGTTCAGTCTCAGGCAAAAAGGGAGGTCTGCCAAAAATCTGTTTGCCTAGGCATAGCATAGATTGACTCTGGAGAGTATTTCTGTCTTTGCACCACATGTTGAAATGCTGGAGTGAAGATTATCTCAACAACAGCAACAAAACTGTCTTGAATGAGCGATAAGCAAGCAGCAATCACAACAGTCAGATACCAAATGAAGCTCTTTTCACCAGGATTCTTTGTAATGTGTAATGGCTATTATGATGTCAGAATAGAATGTAGGCCCGTTAAATTGAGTTCATTCTATTGGATTTTTTTTAAATCATGCAATGCGCACAATCTAGTAGCCTAGGCTACACATTGTTTAATTTTTTGTTTTGTTAACCGTTCATAATATGTTAACCCCGTAAAGAAAAAGCAAATTAAAGTAGAACAAATCGTTTCCGCAGCGTTTTGCAGAAATTAAGTGGTTCCTCACACACACACAAATGTAGTTCAGACAAAGTATTAAACAGGAAGAGCAATTCACATAAAATATATATTTTACTTCGAATCTGCAGTGTAAAAATAAAAAAACTGAAGAGAAGAGATTTTAATAGGCTTCATGCTCTATTACAATACAATCCATCTGTAATTGTGGCTCACCTCAAAAATGAAAGTGTAGTTCCCCCTAGAGGTGAGAAACCTATATTACAACCGACCCCCAGGTCGCTCAAAATCTGTACTTTCTTCTGGAAACAAAATGTGCGTTTTTTGAGCATATTCTGACCATTCTTCTTAATATACGTTAACGAGGACCCCCCCATAAAAAAATATTTGTATCAAATGATCAACAAAAAAAAATCATAATCCACATCGCTCGCACGCGGTATCCAAAGTCTTTCGAAGTAATGATATATTTTTATCAGATGACATTTCAGTCACTAAAACTGTTCTCTTCTTTCTTGCTCTTCTTTCCGCGTTCATAACTGTGGTGTTCGATTCGGAAATGAATCATTTGTTGACGTATCGAATCTTTTCATGAATCGGTTTTAATTCACAAAACCGATTTGAATAATTCGTTTTCGAATCGGACTGGTTCTCGAGTTCACAGCCTCACTGACTGGAATACCGTTGAATCGGTCTGTTTCTCACACTATTATTATGGCCCTAAACCCTCAAATTATTCATCATTACTCAAGATACCCTTAACGTTACATTTTTTCCCCATATGAGATTCAAAAGCATTTTATTTATAACCATGTAAAATGAGTGTAAGTGTGTCTGAGAGAGAGAGAGAGAGAGAGAGAGATTTAGGGTCATGCTTATTAATATTAACCTAGTGGTTCTCGAATAATCCGACCTCTTCATGTAACGAATATTTGAGATAAAACGCGTTTTGCGTCACGTTCAGCACTATCAATCCTGCGCATCCGAAATAGCGTGAATGAACGCGAAGGTCGATAACGACTTGAAATTTGAACCCCCAGACACCTTTCTTTCCATCTATCCCACTACTGCAATGCATCAGTCTGCACACCCCTCCCTGCTCCCTCACAGTCTATCCCAAACGCAGCGTGACATATCGCCAATGAACGCACCACGTTATGGCTTAACGTGTCGTGCTCCGGTTCAAACGGATTCTTTTGTGCATATTCTAATTGATACCGAACATCTATGCGGGGACAGCAGCACAATCTGGTTAATCTCCGTGACCCACAAATAAACAGCTCGCGAGACCGACGGAATGATTTAACGGCGCGAGCGAATCGACTTCATCCACGGAGAAGCCGTTTTTGGGGATCGTATCTGACTGAATGAAGACAGGCGTGGGAAAGGAACGTTTTCTTAAATAAACGCGTGTGGTAATCGGTAACGGTAGGCTGAGAAATATTCAAACCACAAAACAAGCTCCTAGAGTTCACGTTTGTAACTGTTGACAGGGGAAATACCGTCGACGTTGTTGGTATTTGCATCAGAATGTTGTTGCGTCTGAATATTGTTCAGAAATCTAGGGAATGTAATTTAAATTATCTTTAATTCATCCACATGTAACGCAGGTGCATGAATGATGTAACCTATTATTAGCATTTTTTGCGCGTTACTTGTAATGCGTTACCCCCAACACTGATCATTATTCGCTGTTAGACATATATGCTATGCCTTGATGTTTGATAATTGGAAATACAGATGCTTTAGCAAAATAACAGATGGCATGAGCCATAACTACATCCGGTCATAGTAAACACTTATGAGCATGCAACTTCATATGCATTTATTTAAATGAGACAAAGACACAAACATTAAATCCAGTGCATGCTGAAGTTCATTTAATAGGCAGCCTGCTAAATCTTGTTATTTTATGTACAATGCAATGTGAATTTCCTACATTTAGCAGGTCATTCCTCTTCATAATTGGCTGTAAGCTTATAACTTCAAGTTGAAATTGATTCTGAGAGATTTATCCTCATGTTCACACATTAACATAAGCAGTAACTCACAAAATACATAAGCAATAAATATAATTTAGAGTAGAAGAGAATGTCTGAATGTATGTTTGTATGTATGTATGAGGCCAAAGACACATAATCATTAAGTCATTAAGGCAAACATTCTTAGTGATGCATTCATTGCATTCATTGTGATGCATGCAAACATTACGTCACTTAAAATAGTTTTCTCTCAGGTTAAATCAGCCAGCTGATGTGTAGCAAATTTATAATACAAAATTCGTATTTAATGTCACTTGTCTTCCATTACCTGCATACATTTCTAATTCTAAATCAATCACAAACCTCAGCTCAAAGTCTTCCACTGTCAAGAAAACGTTGTTGTTTAGTGAATATATCACCATATATATTTTAGAAATCAGATTAGGTACTGATCAGAGTATTTTATCTCTAAAAAGTGTATGAATATCCATTATTTAGAAAGTACTTGCTAACATATAAATAGGTCAAGAAGAAGTGTTACTGACTGAAACTTGAGTCTGGCATCTCAGCTCTTTTTTCTTTCATGGAGTAACTGAATACTCTGTGCCTGGACTTATTGAACTGAGGGCGTCACATCTCTGATACTCCCTCATTGGTCTTCCTTGCTCCTCAACACTCATCTCCCACCAGACTAGAAGGACAGGAGGAAACATCATCAGGGTCTGAACTAAGAGTGAAGCCCACCATCATCTCCCCGTTTTCTACACTGTCAAGCTCATCTGTTCTCAGATCCAGAAGACGTATTTCCTTCACAGAGTTCCTGTCTCACTGTGGACTACTTGCCAAGACCTCCTGCTCTTCAGTTTAAGCCTGTGTTTTGTTTGTGTGTGTTTGTGAAAGACAGAGACACGACTCCGAAAGCAGCACCTATCATCTGTGAGGATGTCTGCACTGCGTCTTCTGTGGGTCCCTGTGCTGCTGTGTTTAACACACGGTGAGTGCCTTAAGCGCAACATTGAACATGTGAGACATAGATAGATAGATAGATAGATAGATAGATAGATAGATAGATAGATAGGAATAACGACAAACATTATACACTAATAAAAAATATTTCTATCTACACAATTTTATAATTTTTTAAAATATATATTTATTTTAAAATGTTATATTTATAATTTTATATTTACTTTTATATATCATATATATATATATATATATATATATATATGTGTATATATTTTAATATATTGTGTAGATAGATATCAAATATATACACTATAATAACAATTACATTTTTTACATACATGCATACATAACACATTTTATTTATTTTTATTCATATTTACATTTTTTATATCATTTGTGTGTGCATACATATGTAATGGATATATTATTTTAAATATATTGATTGTATATACAGTATATATTCAGTTATTTATATACAAATGTATATACATATTTATGATATTTGAAAATCACATTATTATTATTATTATCACAAGTAGCAGCACATGTATTCTTGCCAGAGCCATTTGTGATGAATTATTAGATATTATATTAAAAAAAATAATGCAACTGAAGTGACATTAATTGCTTCATGAAAAGCGATTTAGCACCTGTTCAGTAGTGGTATGTCTTCACAGTAGGTGTGTTTATGGGTTTTTGTGTTCCCGGATTCCTGAGTAAAAACCCAAACCAGCTGTCACTGTTTGTAGAGTGTGTGTTGGTGCTAAAATGGAGCCGTGTGTGATCAGGGAGGTCGAGACTATAATATAGCTCTTGCCCAAAGCTTGGCTGCTTCTGTCACAAGCTGTTATTATCTTCTAGTTGGTTGTGAATGCTTTGTTTTGTGTTAGATTTGTGGTGGTTGTCCAAAATGTGTGGCTGTTAGCACTCATGCATAGCCTGAATATCTTTCATCTGTGACTGTAAGAAGGCCAGTGATGGAAATAAATCGCTCTCGGGGGAACAGGTGTTGTCAGTTATGCATTAGCGTTAGATGTCCTAGTTTACGCAGTGGGGATTTGTATCTCCCCTCATGTCGTGTGTTGGGAAGCCCATTATCAGGATATCTGTATTTCCTGTACTAGTGGCAAGTTATGTAAACCACCAGCTATCAGCTGCTTAAATGTTACACCTGTTTTCATATGTTGAACCAGTGCAAGTCTTTCATATTTTGCATGCTAATTCTCCTTACATACTGCAATGACACACACTTTGTAAGAGGTCAAAAAAGTCTGCTAAGAAACGTAAATTTCATCTTTTTGCATGATGATCTGTGCTTTATTGCAGTAATTTATTGAGCAACTCACAAAGATGATTAAGCTTATATTTATAACTGTTGCATTTATGATTGCATTGATAATATCAATCTATCAAAATGTAATATTTCCTTAATACTTGATGTTACATATCATGCCCCAAGGAAGAAGTAAAAAATGTTGGAGCAGAAGGTTAAAATTAGATGTGATGTGAAAGCTCAAAAAGAGAACTGTTACACAACTGTACTTTTTGGTACAGTAAGTCATCTCTCAGGATCACTTTAAGGAACTGCTTTTATTTAAAGGAGATGAAACAGAGCAGTGAGCATGGGCAGATGGACAGAAAAATAGACCATGTGTGAGAATGAAAGAAAGTCCCCTGTGGTTGCCTGTGATCTGCTTGTATTATACAGACTCAGAATGTCCAAACTACAGTATCTGATTGAACAGAATTGCCATTGATTATGGCCCATGTAAATTGTTTCTGGAATTTAATGGCAATGTCACCATATAATGGCATCTAACATGTATTACAGCGATATTCCCCCTGGAGAATCCTGAGGTTAAATGCCTTTCGAGGGCACAATGGTGATGGCTTACTATGACCTTCTGCTTGCCCATTGCTGAGCCTTAAAGGAACAGTCAACCCAAAATGTACAATCCTGTCGTTATTGTTATGAAGGATATGTGTAAGGAATATTTAGGGACCATGTCTTTCAAGCTCAAAAAAGGACAGAAAACACCAAAAAAAAGTGACTATAGACTAAAATGTAATATTTTATGCACTAGGTTGAATATGCAGAATGGAGATACTAATAAATGGAGATACTAATAAAAGACCGAGAAGAATACTAATAAATACAACACAAACTTTGGTTTGTTCATTTCCATAGCTTCAAAAGACTTGAAATATAGATTACCTTCATCTCTTTATCTAGGTGTTATAGTAGTGTTGTTTTTTTCCTTTTTCTTTTTTGTTAAAAGAAATGAATACTTTTACTCCGCAAGCATGCATTAAAATCAAAAGTGACTTTTAAATTGCATTAATAATTCATAAATTGCATTAATAATTACATTATATTTTTTATTAAAATATTTTGTATTTATACAATTTTAATATAGGTAATTTATTGTTTATGTATTTATATAATTGCTACAAAATTTCTATTTCAAATAAATGCTGTTCTTTTGAACTTTCTATTCATTAAATTATCCTGAAAAATGTATCACAGTTTTTACAAAAAAAATAGTATGTTTGGACATGTACTGTATGTCAACATACATTGACATACATGTCAATGTATGTTTGTTAGGTGTGTGCATGTTACTGGACGCTGATGATTAGCTGGCAGCGAGGGTTCAGTAGTTCTTAAGGAACACTCTCTTAAAGTTAAAGTATGAAGACACTAATAATTTAATAATTTAATTGAATTTATTGCCATTTGCACAGGTACAGTGTAGTACAGGTACATTGGAATTCTTGTGTGTTCACAGAGTCAAGCTTTCAAAAAAACAACAACGAAAAAAAATTAACATTTAAGGGAAAAATAGGAGACAAAAATATCTGTCCATGGGTCCATAGACAGGCGAGATAGAAAATACCTGTCCTCCAAAGTGAGAGAGAGAGTTATGGGATGGGATACTTCTTTCCCTCCCTGATGTCCTGTGCCCCTAACCTAACAGTGGCTGGAAAGAAGCTCTTGAACAAACGGGCCCTGTTAGTACTAGTACTCACAGGCCTACGGTGTCTCAGGTTGTAGCCCATATCCACCCATTTAAACAGCTCATGAGCTGGGTGATGTTTATCCTTGAGAATGCTCTGTGCTTTCTGTCTGCAGCGTTGAGTATATATAGAGTCCATAGAAAGGAGGTTAGAGCCAATAACCCTCTCTGCAATTTTTATGACCCATTGCAATGATTTCCTCTCAGCCAGGGTAGTATTGCCGTACCACACTATTATACCACTGGTAAGAATAGTCTTGACGAGGCCTCTATAGACACAGATGAGGAGCTGAGGTCTAAGTCTGGCCTTCTTCAACAGTCTGATGAAATACAGCATCCGCTGCATTCTTTTCACTGTTGTCGCAGTGTTTTTAGCCCAGCTTAGGTTCTCTGAAATGTAAAAGCCTAAAAACTTATAGTTAACAGTCCTCTCCACCTCAGTCCCCTTGATGATGAGAGGCTGCAGAGGGGGTGCTCTTCTCCTGAAATCCATAATGAGTTCCTTGGTTTTGTCTATGTTAAAGGGGTCATATGATGCTTTTTTAAAGATCATTATTTTGTGTATTTGGTGTAACAGAATATGTTGACATGCTTTAATGTTCAAAAAACACATTATTTTTCAAATACTGTACATTATTGTAGATCCTCTATGCCCCGCCTCTCTCAAACGCTTCGTTTTCTACAAAGTCCCTCCTTCCGACAAGCGCAGTCTGCTCTGATTGGCCAGCTGACCCAGTGCATTGTGATTGGCCGAACACCGCAAGCACTCGTCGAAAATGTAACGCCCCTTACCATAATCGCGAGCTTCATCTTTTAAAATAAATGTAAAGACAGTAAATAATGTCATTAGTTTTACCATCAGTTCAAGCCCGAAAGGGGAACAGACACAGTAATGATGCAGTACACAAGCCGCGGATAAGACAGCTGACTCCACTGTGATGTGACCCAGTCTCTCTCTCTCTCTCTCTCACAGACACAGACACAGACACAGACACACACAGGATGCGCAAAACTTCACATTTGAACAGTTAATAGCAAATACTTAAACTAGTAACAAAACATACTTACAGTCGCTGATTCAGAAGCGTCAGATTGTCATAGCAAAGTCAGAATTACCTCCTCTCCTAGGTTCATGAAACGGTCGTTGCTGTTCTGTTGTAAGTGATCGTAAAGATTCCTAATCTACTCCTAATCTAGCATCTACTTTCGGAAGGCCAAATAAAGTGCTTTTGCTTTCGCCTAGAAACACACAGCGTCTCCCTGACATGGCTGCTTCAACACTAACTGCGGTTACTGAAACCACGCCTTCTTTCTTTGCGTGCACATTTGGGCGCATTATGCAAATATTCCCACATAGTGAGGTAGATATGTGGGGGCGTGTTAGAACGAGCCGTTTTAGGGGGGTGTGGCAGAGTCTTAACTTTGATAAAGAATATCTCAACTTCAGGGATCTTATCTATTCACGAACAGCTTGTAACACTCCAAAGAGAAAGGGAAACTTGAAATCGCATCATATGACCCCTTTAAGAACCAGGTCGTTGTTCTCTCCATAGACAATAATCTTATGAACAAAATCCCTGTATGATGATTCATCCTCCCCTTTAATAAGGCCAAGAATGGTTGTGTCATCCGCATACTTGATAATAATATTATTGTCCTGGGTGGAGTTACAGTCATATGTATACAATGAGAAGAGTTTGGGACTGAGGCAACAGCCCTGTGGGGTTCCAGTGCTCACTGTGAGCTCACCGGAGACCTTCTTTCCTATCCTCACCACCTGTGGTCTGTCTGTTAGAAAATCCAGTATCCAGTTACAAGTGGATGTCGGCACTCCTAGGTCTACCAGCTTAGATGTCAGCTTCATCTGCCTGATTGTATTAAAAGCAGAGCTATAGTCCAGAAACAGTAGCCGTGCATATGTATTGTGAGTGTTCAAGTGCTGCAGAACATAATGAAGTGCCAGTGCTACTGCATCATCCACTGATCTGTTCGAGCGGTAGGCAAACTGAAAGGGTCCACTGTGTCTGGAACCACTGAATTTATGTGTTGCAGGACCAGCTTCTCCAGACACTTCATGGCAACCGAAGTAAGTGCCACAGGTCTGAAATCATTCATTATGGTTGCATTTGTTTGTTTTCGGAAGCGGCACTATAATAGAGAACTTAACTGTAACTTAACTTAAAGGTAACTGGAGAAGCCACACAATCCACGTCTGTAAATCTTCAGAATTTCCCATTTTAGAGTTGAAGGAAATATCCGTAAACTTACAGGAAAATGTCCTGGTAATTTTCTGCCTGCACATTCTCCATTTTGGGGGGGGCATGAATGCTAAATCTGGGCAAGGGCACACAAGGACAATGTATGAACGATGTCTCTTGCTGGTTTAATATTTAAAGCTCACATCAGTTACACTGAGAAGTTGAGGAAATGGCAATTGCACGAGGAAAAGAGAAACTGCAGCGCAGCCCACCCGTCATCCCAGTTTCAAGAATGGATGCGGAAAAACAGTCTTAGTGGTAAAAAAGAACAAATGCCCAAGTAACAGGGAATGTTCTAAGAACTTTGGCTAATTGTTCCAGCAAGACTCTCAAAGTTATGAACAAATGTCCCTTCAGTGACATTAATAGAATGTTATCTGATTATCTGGTCTTTAATGAAATTCTCAAAACATTAGCACACAAAATTTTTTATTTATACATGTTTTTTTTTTTTTTTCAATGGTTATACAATGGTTTTTCTGAAACATTTTAGTTGGATTCTTTAACGTTTTTTTAAATGTTACAACTTGTTTCAGAACGCCCAGAGAACATTCAAAACTAACGTTCTCAAAAAGAAAGTTCCCTTAACGGTTGCATAACCTAGAAGAATTTTTTTTAAAAAACATTTGTGACCCTGGACCACAAAACCAGTCTTAAGTTGCACGGGGATATTTGTAGCAATAGCCAAAAATACATTGTATGGGTTTTATAGATTATATTATAAAATTATAGATTTTTCTTTTATGCCAAAAAATCATTAGGATATTAAGTAAAGATCATGTTCCATGAAGATATTTTGTACATTTCCTACTTTAAATATATTACAACTTAATTTTTGATTAGTAATTTGCATTGCTAAGGACTTCATTTGGACAACTTTAAAGGCGATTTTCTCAATATTTAGATTTTTTTTGCACCCTCAGATTCCAGATTTTCAAATAGTTGTATCTCAGCCAAATATTCCTATCCTGTCCTATCCTAACAAACCACACATCAATGGAAATCTTATTTATTCAGCTTTCGGATGATGTATAAATCTCAATTTTGAAAAATTTACACTTAAGACTGGTTTTGTGGTCCAGGGTCACATTTAAAAAAGGATACTCTCATTAAAAAGAGAACATTCAAAAATAACGTTTATATAACTTAATGGGAACATTAGCAAAATATTCTTAGAATATATTTTTGTTACCTGGGTGGAATATTTAGCAAATCTCAAAATTGAAATCCACTGATATACTATACATTACAAAGGTGTGATAACTCATTAAATTAATTAATTGCAGGTTTTAGTGTTTTTTGTTTTTTTTAAGTATCAAATTTATATCTCAGCCATTTATTGGTTTGCTTGTTTGTAGGAGTGTGTCAGCATGTGTTTATACCCTTCCTCCCCTTTCCTCCAAAACGGTAGGATATCTATGATGATAATTGTCTTTCCTCCCTCTTCTTCCTCTCCGCAGCCAATCAGAAGCCAATAAATCAATAATCTGTCAATGATGATCAGTGATGTGATGGATGTAACGCTGAAAACGTTTAACCCTTGTCTCCCTCTTTCTCTCTCTCGTTTTCTTCCTCTCGTCTTCCAGTTTATGTGGCTAAAATGTTTACTCTTTTTCTCCTTCCTCCTTTCCTCTCAGCCATCAAAAGCAAATTGTAAATGTTGTTTTCTTGAGTATTACAGTGAAGTAAAAAAATCTAAATCGCAGAAAGTCTGGCAGGATGACTCTAGTTAATAATGTAAATCTGTAGCTGTGATTGATGTGTGCGCGATGTTTCCTGTCCCTCATCTCATTGCACATATATAAATACTTCTCCAGAGGTCAGAATTACAAAAAGATCATTGGTTGAGAACGATGCAGATGTCTCTGTGGAAACTGCAGGGTGAAGTGTGAGAGAAAGATACTTGGAATATCAGGTGTGTTATTTTTTGCTAGTGTTTGCGACTTCCTGGCATATATAGAGACTTGCATCTATATATGAAAATAGATTAATGACTCGAAAAAAGGATCATAGCTCACCGCTAACAATTTATTTCCCCTCAAAGCTTTTTTTCTGTTAGGACAAAAAAAAAACAAAAAAAAAACAAAGCAAATACTGTGCTCTGAGATCACAGATAATTTGAACTATTTTAATGCACAGTCAGTTTTCATGAGTGGAAATAAAGCTTGCAAGAAAATGCTCTGCCTTTAACTAAAAAAGCCAGCATGCATAATTCCAAAAAAATGGGGACGCATGTAAAAAATAAATAAAAAGAGAAGATTTAGACATACTAATGCCTGTCAGTTCAAAACAAAAAAGTGGGCATCGTTAAGACTTAATAGAGTGTTTTATGAAGTCAAGCAGATGTTTCTGTCATTTAATGTTTTGTTCTTCCTGTAGCTTGGCTCTGCCATGGGGCATGTGTGGAGGTGGACTCCGACACGGAGGCAGTGATGGGTCGAGGCTTCAAATTAGGCTGTATCTCTTGCAAGATGAGAGGAGAAGTACTGGCCTCTGCCACAGTGGACTGGTGGTTCATGGCCAAAGGCGAGAGTGAATTTGCATACGTGAGTATGAGACCAAAGACCATGCATTACAGCTTAAAGTACCCATGAAATCAAAATGAAAGTTTTTTGGGTGTTAGCATCAATGTTAGTCTTAAGGTTATCTATAAGGCAGTGTGCTCTAAAACAGTGACAAAATTCACATTTAGAAGATATAAGCATTCAAAGCTTGCAGTTCGTCACTTCCTGAAAGCGGTCACTTGTCCACAGAATTAGTATTTTCTGTACAGTGGATGGCACGTAGTGCACTATATAGGGGACAGGGAACGATTCAAACAGTGTAAATATGCTTTCCATTGAAGAAAAAAAAAGAAGTCTGGTTTCACGCTGTCATGCTAACCACCGCACACACACACACACTCTGCTCTGGTCCAGAGACACGATAGCATGGAGCGGATCACATGCACGAGTCGGCGCAGACCACAAAATGTGTCGGAGCTATTTGAATTCCACACAGAATACTTTATAGCAATATGGATGAGATTGTGGCTGGCATACCCAGTCAAATGCGGCTTTACGGAGCTCAATGGCTCTGAACGGCTCTAGCCCAAGCTGTGATATAAATGAACGCTATTGGCCATTTTAAAAAGGGGCAGGGCTGCTTGATATGTCCCGCCCTGTCTTCCTGTTTCAGTTAAAGTGACGTCAACACAGAGTAACGCTGTGTGTTTCTAAGCATTTCAGGGGACCTTTAAGCTGCACATGATGCATTGCCTAAATTAATTGCATCATGCAGTTGCTTTTTTTAAACCCCTTTTTTGTCCAAGAGCTATAGTACAGCCGTGTGCCTGCGTGAAAAATGCACAAAATAATGGTTAATTTTTTTTTTATAATAAATTCTAAACCCCAAAGCGGATCTAAACCTGTTGGCATTTTTTATGCAAAGCCAAGATCATGCATTTTTTATGATGGTCTTTGTGGTCAGAAGTGAATTACTGCACACCATTTTCAGCAAGGAACATTCCCGAGCGGAATATGTGGACACTTCACAAGGAAGGCAGTTTAAGTCCTTTGCCATTAGAACAATTAGCTGCTACTTATACACTTTATAATATTATTTAATATTTAATATAAACAATTTCATTAAAAATGTGAAATTATTGGCATATTAAAAGTAATGCAAAGCAAATTCTATGTCCTGCAATTTTCAGGGTTTCTACATTTTTTAATCCAATTCAGTTCCATGACCTCTCCACACTACTGGATAAGGATTTATAAAATCATTTCATAGATAATTAAATGTAATAAAGTATAAATGTAAAAAATGTAATCCCTGTTGAATGTTGCACTCTTCTACACTGTAACAATGATTCATGCAAATAAAACAAAGATAACTGGATTACATATTACAAGAAAATACTATTTCAGTCTTTCTACTTGAAAAATCTATTTTAATTCAATGTGTAACTTTCTGTTGTTTTTGTACATATTTGTGGAACTTACTAAATTTATTGTGTAAAAAATTATTTAAATTATATAAGTAACTCCTACACCACTTTTTTTCAGTGCAAGAACACCATCTAGCCTATGAACTGTTTTAGAAAATACCAAAACACTCTTTTTTTATATTAATATATTGTTTTTATTATTTTTTATGATATAAAAAATATATTTTACTCATTTACATTACTTTGAAAAACTAAAATTGACAAATCACATTGTCACAGAACTGCTGCTGTGTAGGAGCGCGGAGCAAAGGAGCGAGGAGATGTAGGAGAATTTTACTAATTTTAATAACCAAAAGGAAACAGAAAAAACACGTAGCAAGGTTGACATGAACAATTCCAGACAAGGGAGAACATGACGGGCTCGAACTCAAATAGGGCAGATAACGAGGAGCAGACAGGTGATGAGGATAACTAATAACAAGGAACAGGTGATTACTAATAATGGGAAAAGGAACTGGAAGGACAAATAGGAACTAAACACGAACACATACGTGACACACATGCCATTTACAGCTTTTCCAGGACCATTAAAGGGAAAGTTCACCCAAAATAAAAATTCTGTAATCATTTACTCACCATCAAGTTGTTCCAAACCTGTAAAAGTTTATTTTTCTGTTGAACACAAAAGAAGATATTTTGTAGAATGTTGGTAACAAACAGTTGACAAAACAGTAGCATTTGACTTCCATAGTATTTTTGTTCCATACTATTTGGTTACCAGCATTCTTCAAAATATCTTCTTTTGTATTTCGCAGAAGAAAGAAACTCATACAGAATGTTCATTTCTAGGTAAACTATCCCTTTAAGCTGATGGTGCTCTTCTGTAGACGGGGCAGTGTAGAGTAAAATATTAGTGATGGGAAGTTCGGATCATTTTACTGACTCAGATCTTTGAATCTCCTTCATCAAAATGAACCAATCTTTTTTCCAAGTCATTTCATTAATTTCGTTCATTTCAGCAGAATATAATTAAAATGTTAAACGTCAATAGCCAAATTCCCCAACACATCTACTTACGCGACATTTCGAATAAGAAACTATAAACCAAGGCCAAATTATGAGAAAAAGAAATGATTAATTCATTGCTTCAGGCTATGCAGTCTTGTTAGTTTACCTCACCTCCCGATCGGAGTTGTTCGTTGTTGTAATCAACTTGTAAGAAATAAAAAAAGATTTGAGATCATAAACACATCACGTAACTGCAAGAGTTAAAAAAATGACTACGCGCATGTTTGTAAGGAAGGTTGGGAATTATTAACTAATTTCTGTATCCGATACTGCCGTCACGGCATGTGACAAAAGAACGAACGACTCTGACTCGGGAGGTGAACTAATCATTTCTCTTTTCGGTACAGGCTGCATAGCCTCTAGTTCAGGGGTGGCGAACGTCGGTCCTGGAGAGCCGCAGCCCTGCAGAGT